TGTTGGTATGGTTTGGACGGGTAGTCGAGCCCAAGGCCTCGAGGCATCGATCCGTAGTAATCAGTGCGCTGTGAGTGTTGTTGCGAGTGCTGAGAGTGCTGTCGATTCATTTGATTCATAGTCGACGAGTTTAAGTGATGACCAGATGATGGCTGCGAAGAGAGTGAATGCAATCCGTGATGGGATGCGTTGGCGGCCGAGCGAGTGGTCATCTGATTGATGGTATGGCTATAATTGCCGGCCATATCGCTATCACAGCTGTCGGAACTGTTGCCCACAGAATACGTCAAATTGTTGTATCTCTGGTGATGTAATTCTTTGATCTTGTTTTGGATACTAGTGGTGAGCGCTCTTCCCTTCAGCAGTTCCAACGCCTGCACCTGTAGTTCGTTCTTCTTTCCCGACTTCTGTTTACCGGCGAAACCCAATAGCATCTGTAGTTCAGCCACTCTGAAGGACATTATCATATTCTGGTCATCCATTCACACAAATAGAGAGCAAAAGACATAACCATTAATTCAATCGTCAAATCAATGGCTCATTCCTGCCATTCAATGAGCCATTCAATTGTCAATCAAAAAACAGGTGATTATAACGAGTAGTGCTAAAGAGACTCAACGCACAGCACCGCCGAAGAAGTGTGTCGTAACTCACCCTTAAAGAACTGATCCCATTGTCGGCCATATTCTTCACGCTCTCATCTTAAGCGACCGGAAAAGTGGCGGTTCTTTAGGCCACGCCTTCCATACACTCTAACGTTAAGCCAAATCACAGCCAAAATCGCACTCAAAATACTGTTATATGTGTTAAAGAATGGGATCACAGAAACCAACACATCCTGTCTTCGGCGCCACTATTGCCATCTGTTCGCCATTTTTGTCACAATTCTGCCCACAATTCACGCCAACAACTCTTACACAACACACGAGACACGACTGTCCACTCAAATCCACACCAATTAGTGGTTAAACTGCACTCAAATCGATCCCAATATGAATTGGCTGTGAGTTTGCGGCAAAAAGTGGTCATAAATGGTGTGACAATTGATGTGTAATCGCCACTACTTTCCACTCAAATCCACACCAATTAGTGGTTAAACTGCACTCAAATCGATCCCAATATGAATTGGCTGTGAGTTTGCGGCAAAAAGTGGTCATAAATGGTGTGACAATTGATGTGTAATTATAATGGGATTCAATTGTATGTCAATTGAAATGTTGGACACAATTCATAGCCAATAGATGTCACGCTTTTTGTGATGCAATCCAACCGTCAATCCATTCGTTGGCCTCAATGTTGACATCACTGCGCACTCAATGCACACACTATAAGCCCCGCCCATCACTACAACACACACTCCCTATACGTTCACACCATTCAAGCCCTCAATCATACGTTTGTGCGGTTATTATCTCACAATTCATTGTTTTATTAATGAATGACTAAATTGTATTTAACTCTGAGTTTTTATTTCCAACACTTTATATCTGTTTTCCCCGAACTTTGCGTTCAATGGTTTTGAGTGTATTTTTGGGTCCATTTGTTTGTCATATAATATGACAACAAATAATGTGCGCAAAGTTTGCCCCCTTTTGCCCCCTTCTGGCCCTATGTTTGCCTTGTATTGCATTATTGCACGCATTTGTGGCAATACTTATGAGACATATTTTGTTGACTGAATTGCAATACAAGAAAATATAAGGAAATGTTTTGACATTAAAACTAAAGTTATTTTTATGACATTTTTAATTGCATTTTGTTATCATTTCATAGTATTTATGACAATATATAATAAGATATGACTTATAATCCGGTAATCAATTGAAGTGTACTTTCATTTTGAGCGCATTTTTTCATTTCTATATAACTTTGATTGACTGTCACTTTAGTTGATCCCATACTGCGATCGCATCGGTCACGCGTTAGGGACGGGAACACTGATCCGCATCGCCGGCACTCCGAGTCCGTCGTGTCGTTGGTTCGCGCGACGACCTGTTGTCACCATTTGATTGATTAACCTCTTTGTTGTTGTCATTAGTTTCGCCATTAACTTGCAATGCGGGCCATCCGTTAACCCGCGCGACGACATCGCCCTCCACTTGAGCCCTGTCTTCACTCCACCGCCACGTGTTGTCCGCAATTCACTGCAGACTCAGCGCTGGGGACCCGAAGAGAGTTTCGGCGGCTTTCCCTTCATCGGTGGCCAACCCTTTGAGACAATGATTTTGATAGATTACGATCACTTCAAGATCGCCATCAATGGCTCGCATTTCACTGAATTTCGATACAGAATACCATTACAACGGATCACTCATCTGGCCATCGATGGGGACGTAGCCATCGCTTCCATCACATACGAGGGCACATCACAGCCGGCGTACGCCCCGCCGCCTCCCTCTGCGCCTCATATCCCTCCGTATCCGATGAGTGGAGCGCAACAGTCAATGCCGGCGTACGCGCCCTCCTATGCAACGGGTGCTCCCTATCAGTCGCAACCGTACGCCAGTCCTAACGCTCCCGTTTATCCAACCGGTGGTTACCCGCAAGCGTCGTATCCGACCGCCGGATATCCCAATCCCGGTTACCCAACGCCTGGATATCCGGTTTGTTTTGACTTTTGTTGTATATTTTACATGAGTTTTAATATATTTCTAAATATCTAAAGCATTCTCCGAGTGGTCAAAACAAAGGCATATTAGGCGGTGCTTTGGGCGGAACTTTAGGTGGTTTGGCCGCAACCGCCGCCGCCTCTGGTATTGGATCCGCTATTTTAGGCAAAACTATGGGAAAGCATCACAAAAACAAACACTCGAGTCCTATACCCATCGCTGGTTTGGCTGCGGGCGCCGGTGCCGCAGCTCTGGGCGCGGCTGTGCTTACAGGACACCATCCCGTATACATTCACTCTATATATTGTTTTGAATATTTTAATCAAACGATTGTGTTATTTATAGTTTAAAAAAGCGAAGAAAATGTTTAAACACAAGGGATTTAAACACAAATGGCATAAACCAAAGTTCGGCAAATGGAAACACAAGGGCTGGAGTTCGGGTAGCAGTTCTGAAGAGGAATAATATGCTAATCATATTTGAGTGGATAAATATTGATTGGTTTCAAAGTGCAATTCATTAAATTAATCATAACTTAATATTTAGTTTTCGCTATAATAGAGAGTTATTTAAATAATTTATACAATAATTTGCTCTCTCATTGAGTGTCTGATATATTTGTTGGAGTATTATAACGGTATTGAAACTGATTACCGGTATATGGAAAAACTGAATCTTAATTAATATACAATTTTGTTAATTTATAAGAAATCTATTAGCATTTATATATTCGCTACAATTTTATTTTATAAGATTTGGTGATTTTTAACATTTTTATTAACAAATCGTTTGCTTAAATATAAGCAATTAAAAAGACTTCTGTCATAAAGTATTTGCATATTTAAGTATTGAACAATTAATAAAAGCACATTTTACTGCAATTTGTTTGAAATTATTAATTATTTAACAGTAATTTGTAAATTAAAGTGAAATAAATATTTTATACTTTTAAATTCAATTTGATATTAATCTCAATTCAGAATGGAAATTGAGGTTTATAAAATCACCTGCCCCTCCAATGGAAAAATGCTTTTTCTACTCGTAATGTTAAGTCAACGGGAAATTAATTTTTCGATTTGCAAGAAAAAGTTCGTTTAATCAATTTGGTTTTATATTGAATGACTTTCAAATGATTATAAAAATATGAACACAAAATCTTTCTTCTATACACTGAATTCAATACATATTAAATGTGTGCATAATTTTATGTCAGATTTATGTCAAATCAATTAAATGGTTTGTCATTCGACTCGAATTTTATCGAAAATACTGTTTTTGTTGTTTTTTTAATCAAAATTTTTAATTCAAATATTGATTGATTAGAGTTTTCAGTACTCATAAAAAATTTTAATAACAAAATTAAAGTTTTATCAAATTTTTACATAATAAAAATATTTACAAAAAATAAAATAACATTTTGTGGCACTTTTTTTGCTTATCTTAATTCATATTGAAAAATTCAATTTAAAAAATGATTGCTTTAATTGATATTACAATCCCAATAGTAAGGCGCTCTCACAATAAGGCGCTCCCTATTTATTATTGGATGATATTGTGGGTGTGTATGAATGCTTTTGTATGGGTTCAGTCAATAAGGGGGCAGAAAGAGGGAGAGTGAGAGCGCCTTATTGTGAGAGCGGCTTACTATTGGGATTGTTAATATGAAACCAAATATTGTGTTTTCGATGAAAACGCTTAGATCTGTATTCCCCATGAGATGAGAGCCAGAAATTAATTTTGTTTTCAGTTTTGCACGAAATGACTAAAAGAGTAGCGGGTTTTCAGACGCCTTTCATTAACAATCATGTGGTCAACTGATGTTCGGCCCAAAGGCGGTCAATAAAGTCTGCGGTTGTGTTTCGATACTCGCGGTAATCATTGGTTTGGGTTTGATTGTTATGCAATTGTTCCCAAATGTAATGGTTTTGTAAGTTTGGGTACTCTATGTGCCAACTCGTGGGCCTATTGTTTAGAGTGACTTTAGGCAGCGGTAGGTCTGACTCTATGTTTCGTGAATTGATAGTCGAGAGGTGTTTATAGGGAATATCGGCACAAATGTCAGAACTGCAAGAATATCGGCGGATATCTCGAGCAGTACTGATGTGCCGCTGACGAGAGCCGGGAACTGTCTTCGGTAACATCATTAACGATCTGTCATTAAATAAGGCCGTAATGAGTGGTAGATTCAGGTCTCGACTCTTTTGTCTGAGTTGTTGCAGATCAGAGACCGAACCGTTTTGGTCGCTGTTATAGTTGTTTGCGGCGAGTCTTCCGTTTGTCATTATTGAGTTCTGAAATACATTGAAAAAATAAATAATTAAAATTTATTAATAGTTATTGGCATTAAGAGAGACTACTGACCCCTTTCTGACTAGCGTTGGTTAACTGTGAAAAATTAGCCGTTTTAATGACTCGACTTTCATTATAAGAGTTGGCGTATTGGGGCGGCGGTGGAGGTACTAGTATTGACTGTAGTCTCGATTCCGAGTTAACACTCAAATCACTGGCGAATAGCCTTAACGGATGGCTTGAAGTCATTGTGATGTTATTGAGTGACTGATGAAAGGATGGTTGGATTAGCGGTTCCGTACAATCGGATAAACTCTTAGGAGTGGAAACCGTTACGCAAGCGGCAGATGAGGGCTGTATTGATGGGACGCTGTAATGTGCGCTCGAGTCGGAGTACGCGCGACCCTCTTTGTATGTCCTCTTTATAATCGAAGGATTAGCTCCGTTACACATATTTGAGTCCAAATTATTGGACAATTTATTGATGGAGTTATTGAGTGCATTGGGACTGAGCTGACAGTTATTGACTTGCAAATTGGTTGGAGGCAAATAGGATGCGGTCGACCAGAGTTTGGATGTGGAGAGATTGGGTTCCGATGCGGCGATACATTGATTTTTGGACGAATTTTGGTCGTTATTATATGTGAAGACAGAGAGTGTGGGCTTAACGTGCGAACGGGTTAGGGATGAGATGCCTATTCTTGTTGCGGTTCTTTGAGTGGAATTAGTGTTTGTGGTCGGAGTTAATGTGGAGCTCAATGAGGGACAGGCTTTCAAAGGGAGCTTTGGTTTGGTTTCAAAGTTTTGGAAATGAGAAAAATATGGGATATTTTCGTAGATATGATTCATTGATTCGGATCTTTCGGTCAGTTTCGAGAGATTGACGGAACGCACTGATAGGTCCAGTTTGGGTTCAACTTTGGCACCACTTGTTATGTTTGCCGATTGAATGGCCTCAGGACTAGTCGATAATATGTTTGGTTTGACACTCAATGTATCGTTTGTTTGATTGATTGTTATGTCGTTCACAACAGTCAAGTGTTTGACATCGATATGAGCGTCGGCTCTATTAGTGACAGTAATTATATGCCTATCGGAGGGAACGACTGGAACCATAGATTTGATGGTTGTGTTGCTTTGTTCAGAAGATGTACTCTTTATACTATTAGCACTCGAAGGCATCTCACAATCAATTTGTTGTTTAATTTGTGGATAACTATTGCAATTCATTGTAATATTGCTGATAGAGTTGGACTGTTTGTCCTCAATATTTGGCGGCGACCTTCGCATTGAGTTATCTATCGGTTCACTCAAAGCTAGAGATTCAAGTGAGAGCACCGGCGCTGAGTTTATCATTATTTCTATATCGATATCTTCTCTGTCACTGTCTTCAAGACTTTGCACTTTGTCTGAAACAATACCAGATGTGGTATTAGAGGAAGCGTTGCTAATTACCGACACTCTCTGGGCGTTCATCTCTTCCAATACAGAACCCGTATGTTTGTTATAATCGGAACCTTTCTTATTATTCCTACCAATGAGTGGTAAATCAAAACTCTGGTCATAAATATATGATTCTCTAAACTTTTTTCTACAGAGTTCTGACTCTCTTCTCTTCACTTCTTTCATCTTTGTTTGAACAACGAGTTGGAACTGATGGCTAACTTTGCAAAGCCATAACAAATGACGGGCCGATTCCTCTGTATTCGCATAGTATGTAAACTTCCTGATGGGATAACCCGTGGATCTGATCTCAAATTTCTTTTTATCGAAATACAACTTTCCGATGTCAGCCCAAGTGAAGTATGAGATGCGGGTCTTTTGTTTAGCACAGGGATGACTGCTATGACTATTCCTATGAATGGTTGAAATTCGTTGTTCTTCTGAATTGATTTCGACACCAGTGGTGCAAATTCCGATCCACACCTCACTCGTGGCCGTCTTATTCTTAAGCCTATAGAGATGCAGATTATGGGCCGCACTGGCATCCGATGCTTCCTTGATATACATAGACTGGGCCTCGCTTTTAGGCATTCCCTTGTGATCCCTGTGTAAGAACGGCAAGTGCTCTATAATGTAATCCAAACCAATCGCTTCGATTACCTGATAAACAATCGCATCAATCAAAACATGTTACACAAAATACAATCAATGGTTAAGAGCTTAACGTTTAGAATATATTAATGTTTGACTCAAAAGTATGTTTTTTAGAAATATTATATTTTATAAAAGATAATGTATTACAAAAACTATTACTTTTTCCGACATATTAACCATTTTTCACTCAAATTTAACTTTAAAATTATTTTATATAATTTTTTATTTCTACGATTCGGACATTAATTTTAAATTTCTTTGTTTTAAATAATAAATTTAATCAAAATATTTTTCTTTTGAATATAAACTAAGTTATGTTCAAATGAATATTTCATATAAATTAGAAAAATCCAAATTCAAGTTATATTTAATTTTTAAAAAAAGTTTTGCTTCAATTAATTCAAATGACAATCTAATGCTTAATATCTGAATTCAAATTTTAAATATGTATATAAAAAAGAAGAATAGATGAGAATAATGGAAATGTAGTGTAAAATATGTTGTGAAGGGTAGGGATAGTAGGGATGGATAGGGATTGAAATAACTTAAAAAAGGTTAGTCTAGTTGTAGTGTTAGTCTCTCTCGTCTTACCCACGAAGCGAAGTATAGCTGAGGGTTGAAGTATTGGCCGACATGTAGTTGAGGATTGAAATTACCGAAGTCTGCCTGAAGGGCATACGATGCCAAGAGAAAGGCTCTCTCCTCTTGGAGGGCCTGACCATAATTGACTACATTCTCCCTTCAATGGCAAAAAACGAAAATTAGTCTCTGAACCCGAGGCCTAATTTTGTTCAATACATACCTTAGTTGCAGATAATAGAGAAGTTTTGCTACTTTATCACTATATATGAGATGAGAGAAAAGAGACATATTTTCTGTTAATACAGTCTTTTCATAAATTATAGTATGAAATATAAAAACATATATAATATATAAAAGCCATTATTTTTTATGCAATAATTAAAGATAAGAAGACTCTCTCTTACCTAATGAATAGATAAGAGTCGACATAAAATTGTACCCTAAGATGAACAGCGAATAATGGTTTGCCGGTGTTGTCGACCCCCTATCCATACAAAGCAAGTCGTCGTACAATGAAAAGAGAAAGAAGATTCAAATTGTTTTCTCCACTTTCAATGTCTTAAATCATAAATAATTATATCGTAATTAACGAGTTTTAAATTACATTAGTCTGGAGTTTCCACTGTTTGGACGCGTATTTGCAAAGTTTTTGTGACGAATCGAGAAATATAAATGAATCTAAAGGAAGGAGAAAAACAAATAAAAACTTAATATTATGGCAAAACTGGATATTAAAAGACAACACTATTATTAAAGCTATAGAAGCGATAACTTTCCCAAAAGCATAGTATTTATCTCAAGAGAAAAAAGAGTCAAAATGAATATCAAAGTCATTGCAATCGCAGACTTCTCTATTAATTTCATATTCATTGCAAATGATATTATGAGAAAAATAAGTATTTTATGATAATATGCTTTTGAGACATCGTTTTCCCCAAATATATGATTACTTATTAAATTAAATGATAAAACAAATTAATGACTGACCGGTTCTGATGGCGAGACCAAACAATTCCGTTTGGCATAGACTCAAGAATTTGCTGATTTGTCCAAACAATTCATTGACTTTGCTTTTAGGCTAACCATTAAAAGTGAATTTGAAGGCAAAAAACATTTCTTTAGTAAATTCAAAAAAGTTTCTTCTTTTTCTCTTTCACTCAAACAATAATAAGAAAAATAGTATTTATTTGGCAAAGAAGAAGAAGACGACAATTGTTGAGTGAAAATGAATGTGAATATGGCTTATAGTATACCTCAACGACGAAGTAAAGCGTGTCTTCACTTAACAGGTTTACGGCCACAAACTTCTTACCGCTCGGAAGCTGTGAATCGCACGTCGAGTAGACATTACGCCTCATTGTCTCGGATTTCACGTCTCACTAAACAATAATTGTTTGATAAATATATGCAATATTTCTCATGAAGAATGAATTGAAGAAAGGTTTAATGAATGCTCAATGAATTCGTCGTTTTTTCTAACAAAACAAAAAGTAAAGACAACTTTTTCAAGTGTTTAGTTTTACGCCTAAACTCGGAAAGTAACCAACAATAAGGTTGTTTCCCATAAGCATTACATGACTAATGCATCGGATATTTAGTAAATAATAAATCAAACATAATATTAATTCAATAGAAAAGTATGTGGAGATAAAAATGCATTCAAAAATGTATTCCTAGATTATATACTCATAATTTATATGACATTAAAATATTTTGCTCACACTTTCACTGATTACAGGCAACAAAAAAAAAGGAAAGTGGAAAACAAAATATATTGTTTATTCCCAACAAAATGATTGAGATATTACTAACAGAAAAAGAATATACATTTATATATTTATAATAACATAATAATAATATCATAATTAACTTCTCTCTCTCGACTATACGTAAGGCTAAAGTACTGACAATACAATGGTATGAATGGAGACTTTATTCCAGGACTTATTTATCAAACAATTACTGGAATCTAAACTCATTTAAAATCGCGAAATAATAATAATAATAATTGTTATCACAGAGTGTTTGAGAGTTGAGTTGAATGGTCTGCCTATGAATGTAATGCCTATGGAATGCGCTTTTAGGGGCTGTTAGCCATCCAAACACTATTCCAACTATTATTATGCTTTTGGTTGTAATCTCTGCTCCAATAAGAGCTGCAAAACATATGATAAATAACTAAAAATATTAAGAATATCAAAATTAATATTTTGCACAAAAAATTAAAACTATTATTGATTAGCAATTCATGATTGGAGTCATTTTCATCAATCATTTTATTCTGTAATTAATTCTGTATTCAAATTCATGTTTTAATTGATGGACCGAAAAAGGCACTCAATTAATGCATTTTAAAGCAAACGTTGCTTTCAATTGACAGACCCGTAGAAAAAGTGATTTTTGGCGCTAAACCTCTTTTTATATACATATTCCGTATGTCTACTAACGACCGGTCGTCTCACGCGTTAGGATTAGATGCAAAAATCACTTTAACCGTCAAATGCCTCTAAGATGTGGTGCTATTCAGTTTACATACGGAGAGACCAATTAATGTGTTGCAAAAATAGCAATGAATAACAAAAAGTAACTAAAAATTAATATTTCAAACCTATTGTCGACTATTTGTTGCATTGAATCAAACATTTTTTGAATTTAATGAAACGGATTCCCTTTGAATTCATAACAATGAGAATACAATAAAAAGTTTTTTGAGTGCATTTCCAGCTCCGTTAGAGTTTACGGATTGTGAGCACTGGTTGGGGGCTATTGAGCACTGGTTGCCACTATTGAGATGTGGGCGTAGAGTGAGCTTAAGTACACCATAAAGAACAGGACAACCGATGGTGTGTTGTATTCAAACGCATCCGCTTTTAATTCTCGCATTCATTTGTATAATTAAAGTACAAACTTATTTCAAATAAGTTATTTGAAAAAATAGCAAAAATTATATTAACTATATTTTATATTTTTGAATAATAAATAAATTATATATAAAATGCGGGATTTGTTGAAAAGAGGGATTGAATTTGATTTTACAAAGTGGTTGATCTGTTGCATGAGATAAGCCACATAACAAACTGAATCCATGATATATTTTTGAATAATAAATAAATTATATATAAAATGCGGGATTTGTTGAAAAGAGGGATTGAATTTGATTTTACAAAGTGGTTGATCTGTTGCATGAGATAAGCCACATAACAAACTGAATCCATGGATTGAGACTCAGGTGTTAAACAAATTATTTGTTTGGCAAACGTATAAATCGCTAAATATTGTTATCGCTCTTCATATCAGTTTCAATACAACATTAAGCGAAGGAATTTTAATGAAATATCAAATAAATGTTAACCTATTTTCCAGTTATTATAGCAAACATTTTAATACTAAAACTTTATTTCCTTTTGACACTCTCTGCGGAAACCTCTGAGGAATTAAAATATTTTTTCATCAAAACCTAAATTCTTGTCAAAATGTGATTCAAATTCCAGATTAAATTCAATTAATTATATTTCTTTAAAAATTTTGAAAACGAAAATTATTTTTATCTATTAATTTACATATAATTAAGTAAATATGAAATAAATTATAATTAATTTTCACATTAATAAAAATTCATAGCAAGTATGCGATCATCTAATAACAAGCCTCCTGTGGAGGGAAACAATCATTTTTGTGAAAATAAGTAAAAAACTTTGTGCTGAAAGCAATGAATGTATTATTTGCACACATTTACAGTAGTATTGTATTTATCAAAGTCCGGAAACTTTGCCAAAAACGCTCAAAACATTAATAACTAATTTCTATTTCAGAGTTTTCTTTTTAATCATTATTAATAGTTAACCAGCCAACATGGTCAAACAGTGAACATGGTCAAACAGTGAACATGGTCAAACAGCCAACACTTCTCATTAGTACTTTTTCAATGAGAACTTTATGCTGTAAAATATCCCAAGTTATGAACGAAAACACACGTCTCAGACTTAATGGTAAAATAATGTCTATTCTGTAAACAACTCTATGTTATGAATCAACAACTAATACTTGTTCACTAACTCTGAAATGTTTTCTAAATATGAAAAATATTTTTATTTGATATTCACATCAAAATTCAACGACACATACAATGAGATCATAAAAATTGTATTCACTTTCAAGTATTCACTCAACTGTTGATCTCTACTCCACAGCAAAAACATCTGCAGAGAAAAC